GCGCCAGGCTGTCTACACACATTTACTCATTTATCAGAAAGCACAGAGCTAAGCCCTTGCGCTCTGGAGCCAGGCTACCTGGATTCATGTCTGGGCTCTGCTGAGTCTCAGTAGCATAACTCGGACAGAAAGCCAACCTCATTTATAAATGGGGATAAAAATCCAATGTAGCTTATAGGGTTGTTGTGAGGATTAAAAATTAACAATATGAAGTACTTAGAATCATACCTGGCGCACAGTAAGAGCTATCGAGTTCATATCATTCATCCCCAAAACCAATTCTATATAGATTGTTATACCCATTTTATGGATGAGGCCCTGTGGCTAGAAAAGGGCCAGTCACTTGCCCCAGGACACAGAGCTGGGACTCAAACATGTCTCCAGGGATCTGGTGCCAGAATCCAAAGTACATGCTCTTAATATCGAGCCTTGCTGCTGGGGGCAGGCGTGAGAGAGTAACTTGCCTGCCCCCTCCTCGACAGCTGCAGGGATTCTCTTCTGTCCTCCCCAAAGCAGCCCCAGCCCCTGTGTGTCCAGGCTGAGATAAAATGAGAAGTCTAGGGAGTATTCAAATCCCCTTCCCCAGTTGGGGTGGGGTTGGGCAGGAGCCAGTCTGGGAAGAATGGACAGTCTTCCAAAAGCTGCAACTATAAACAGGACACTGTCACTCCACACCCTCCAGTTCTTCCCCTCTGCTGGGCAGGGCCCGGCAGGCCGCAGTCAGCTGCCTCCACAAATACATAAACACATAAATCCCAAGAGAGAGAGCTGGCAAAGCCACAGAAGGAAAGGCAGATACCAAGACTGGAGGAGGATTCGGCGGCCCAGCTTTAGCCCCCGCCAAGGTGGAAGGATGGGCTGGGCTTCCAGCAATGGGCACCTGCAGAACAGGGCGGAAGGAGGGCAGGCCTGGGAGACGGACTGGTGTGTGACAGTGACCTGGGATGGATTCTGCTAGAGGGAAGAGAGAGCAACTGAGCAGGAGCCAGCACTCCCTGCGCATGGGCAGTGGGTTGGGCCCGCAGATATCCGGGAGAGACTGAGTCTCCCCGTGGTTCTGGCACTAGACTTTACCCTTGGCAGTGGCGGATGTCGGCCCCCATCTCTCACCGGCCCAGGAAAGCATCCCTTCATGTGTGAAACTGCTAGGACAGAATCATGAACATTCCCCGACATTGGCAGTCTCTGCCCCAGCCAGGAGGGCAGCTGTTGGGAGAGGAGAGGGAGGTGCAGAGCCACAGGGGTGGGGGAGAGCCAGCTGACGGGGTGTGGAGCCAAGAGCCCCCCCTTCTGCGGAGCTCTGGACGAAGCCATCCAGTGCCAACATCCCACCGCCCGCCTGCGTGGTTCTCATTAGGCTTATTAGCAGCCAAATAGCAACAAGCAAACAGCACAGGGACCAGTTAATGAGCACACAGCCCTGCTGCGGGTAAGCCAACTTCAAGCAGGAGAAGCTGTTACCCACTGGCAACCCCCTCCAGGAGAGCTGCTGGCCTCTGTGCCTGGGTTAGGGTGGGTGACCAGGGGGCAGCAGGGTGAGAGGGACAGGGAGAGAAATACCAGGGGAGAAGGTACTGGCAGCATCCTGCCTCAGCATCCTGGCGCAGCACCCGCTGGGGCACGAGGATACCCCCACACACATGCGCTGGTACTGTAACAGTATACAAACTCACTCAACCTTGAGTTTCTAGGGTTGAAACTCCAGTTTGGCAGAGAATAACGCTGGAACATCACTAGCAAGTTAGGAAACGAGAACTTCCAGGGTTGGAGGGCCCAAGTGAGACCTATGCCCAGACCCCTCAGGCAGCTGGGGAGAAGCCCACCCCCTATGAAGCCACCCACTGCAGCTTCAGCTCAAACCTCAGCAACACTCTCCATCAGCCAGTGCTGCCTCCCAGAAAAGGCTACGCTCTCTCGAACATACCAACCCTCTTCCCCACCTCCAAGTCCCAATCTCTCCTGCCCAGGCCTCCTGAGTCCTGAAAGGCCCTGCTACTCAAAGTGTGGTCCCTGGGCCAGCAGCATCAGCGTTCCTGGGAGCTGGTTAGAAACACAGAATGTCTGCCCCCCACCCAGATCTGCTGAACCAGAATCTTCTCTTTGATGTGATTCCCAGAGGACTGGGGGAACATTCAAGTTTGAGGAGGGCCCCCAAGGCAGATCTCCCTATGACTGACCCCCAACTCTCCTCAGTGATTTTTAGCCACACCTAGAATCACCTGGGATGCTGTTTAAAAAATAACAGTGCCAGACCCCAGCCCCAGCACTTCTGCTCAGCATAAAGCCACCTGGCCACCCACATCCCTGGCTTCCCTACTCAGAGGAGTTGCTCAGAGCTGATTTTGAGTCTCAGGTTCTTTTCCAATGAGCTGTGTGGCCTTGAGCAAGTCACCACCTCTCTGAGGCTCACTTTCTTCTTCTTTAAAATTATGAGGGGCTGGGCGTGGTGGCTCACACCTGTAAGCCCAGCACTTTGGGAGGCTGAGGTGGGAGGATCACTTGAGGCCAGGAATCTGAGACCAGCATAGCCAACGTGGTAAAACCTTGTCTTTACAAACAAAACAAAACAAAAAACAAAACCCACAAAAATTAGCCAGGCATGGTGGTAGGTGCCTGTAATACAAGCTACTTAGGAGGCTGAGGCAGGAGAATCACTTGAACCTGGGAGGCGGAGGTTGCAGTGAGCCAAGATTGTGCCACTCCACTCCAACCTGGGCAACAGAGTGAGACTCTGTTTCAAAAAATAAATTTAAAAATTTAAAAGTAAAAATAAATGGTGAGGGACAAGGGTTTCTCCCCCACCGGTGCCCCTGGCCACAGAGGGCCTGACCTCTGAGAGCCCCCACGCGTCCAGGTTCCTGGAAAAGGAAAGGGTGTTCAAGCAGATCTGCTTTGTTGTTCGTTTTTGAGTTTTTGGCTCTGGTTCTGTTATCTGGAGGTCCTAGAAGGGACCGAAGATTCTGCTTGAGCTGCATCTTCAGACAGGCAGAGAGGGTCAGGGCCATGAGGCCTGAGGCAGAAGCCAAGAGCTTGGTAAACCCGCATGTCCAGGCTCGTGGAAATGGGAGCAACCCCATTGCATCCTGCATCCCGTCAAGTAGGGTGTCAGGATAACCACGTTATCCTACGTTGTCATAGAACCAAATATGATGTTCCCAGACGAGGGCATCCATCGTGCTGGGAACATCATGTTTTTTCACACACCTGGACTATTAACTGTGAAGCCCTCCTACTGAGAAGGGCCTGGGGCTGGTCCTTGAAGGAAGGGAGCTGTTGAGACTGAGGCTTTGCAGCCAGGCTTGGGACCGGCAGAGGCAGGGGCAGCCACCTGAAGGATAGTCAGGCAGAGTTCCTGGGGAGCTGATGTGGACCCAAGAGGGGCCTGTGGGAGGAAGGAGAAAGATCCAAGGGGATCCCTCAAACTCCTATATCTGCTATGGTCTGTGGGGATTCCACACTCTGGAATGCCCAGCCCCCTCTGGTGTTGGGAGGGAATGAAGCCCAGGAGATCGGAGTCCGGAGTTCTGGAGTCAGTCTGCCAAGGCCCAGCCCGAGCTCAGCACTTGCAGCAGCGGAGCTTGGCCGTCTTTCCCAAGCAACCCGAGCCTCAGCTTCCTCATCTGTAAGCCACGATGATAAGCATACACCTACATCATAAGATGACTGACAGGTCAAACTAAGATAATGCATGTGAAGAGCTTAGCGCAGTGTTGGGCAGTAGTACGTACTCAGTTGTTAGCTAATAGTAGCAGTAGCAGTAGCAGTGACAGCAATAGTACCATCACCTCCAGTTCACAGATGCAGAAAGTGAGGCCCAGAAATGAAGGTGAGATACCTGGCAGCAGGGTACAGGTATTAAGAAGAAGGACCCTGGAGTCAGGTTGTCTGGATTCAAATCCTAGCTCTGCACTTCCTGACCATGTGACCTTGGACAAGTTACCCAACTGTGCTTCGCGTTCCTCATCCACCCGCCACAGAGGATGTTTAAAGTGCACCCTGCACCAAGTGAGTGCTGTGAAGGTACTGGCTCCTGTTGTTGTTAGTGCCCTTGATACCATCAGTGGAAGAGGCTCGGGCATGGAGGCTCTGGCTCTTCCCAACTTACTCCTCCGTTTCCACAAAATAAGATGGCTTTTCTCTGCTTCGAGCCAGACTGCCAGACATCAGAGCAGTCCAAGGGGAGACGGCTCCAGGCATGGGTCAGAGAGTGTCATCTGACCATCCTGAGAGTACTGATCAGAGCCAGGGTCATCGGGCCAGGGGCCAGGGCAGAGGTGGATTCTCATCCCTGCCCTTGGAAATGGTGCCCTTGGAAATGTGGGATGCAGAGGCTCTGGGCCAAGCATGTTCTGCAGAACACAGGTGCGGACGGGCTCCTGAGACCCTGCCGGCAGTGTGAGTGGGGCCAACACAGTAGGGCAGCAGGAGGGAATGCAGGAAGCTTTGAAAATATAAGTGATTTCATTTGAGAAGCTGTGTCCAGCCGGAGGCATTTTTTTTTTTTTTTTCTTTTTGGAAAGGAGACTCACTGTGTCACCCAGACTGGAGTGCAGTGGCACGATCTTGGCTTACCACAACCTCTGCCTCCCAGGTTCAAGTGATTCTCCTGCATCAGCCTCCCAAGTAGTTGGGATTACAGGCGCCCAACACCATGCACGGCTAATTTTGTATTTTCAGAAGAGACAGGGTTTCACCATCTTGACCAGGCAGGTCTTCAACTCTCAACCTCAAGTGATCCACCCACCTCGGCCTCCCACACTGGGATTACAGGCGTGAGCCACCACTCCCAGTCCCAGCTGGAGGCATTTTTAAACCTCCTCCCTTCCACTGGATATTGCCTCCACTTTAAAGAGGGGCTGCATCTCCAGGACGCAGACTAGGAAAGACGCTTCTGCTCCAGGTTCTGGAGTCCCTAAGCTTGACCTGCCCCGGGAGTAGCATGGGGAATGGCACTCCACGTCTGATACAGCGGAGTGTCTGCTACTGGTGGAGGCACTCACGTTTGATACAGTGGTTGGTGCTGTTTGCTGTTGTCCATCCTGGGCAGCACTGTCCCCCGCAGACGTTCCTCCTGTGGGGTCACCAAAACAGAGTCAACAAAAGGATGCTCAGAGCTGGGGACTATTCACAGCCCTTCCCACAGTTCCACCTTCTACAGGAAAGGCCTGGGGGAACACGGAGAGGCTGGGAAGGCTGTCCCCATTCTACGTGCAAATCTAAGATTGAATCCTGACTCTGCCATTCTCTGCACGTCCCTGGGAAACCTCACTCTCTCCATCTGTACAATGGAGGTAACAATAGCTGCTTAACTGGGTTGTTACGATGGTTAAATGTTTAACATCTGACAGAAAGAAGGCAGTCCACTGGGGCAACAATGACAGTGATCCTAAAGCTAATAAACAAGCCAGTTCAGAGAGGTTCAGTGACTTGCCAATTCCACACAGCAGGTAAGTGCCCGAGCCTGATTCAAACCTGGGTTGGCCCAACTCTAAGCCACGCTCCAACTCTACATTGCCTCTCACAAAACAAACAAACAAACAAAACACCAAGGTCCTTGCCCTACAAATGCTGACGATCCAAGGGAAGCTGGAAGACACACATAAAGCAGTCTTAAGGTCATATGAGGTGTCACCTGCCAACAAATGCACACTGAGGAGTCTTAGCCCCCAGCAGTCTGGTGCATGGGAAGGCTGAGCCCTGAGTGGACACTGAAGGAAGGGGGCTCTAGAATTCCTGCTTAAGAGGGGCTTACGAGGTGGGAAGCTGGTAGGAGGATGGGGCTGGGGATGTGGGTTAAGCTGCCTCTGCACATTTTTATTTCAGAGGCAAACAGGAATTACTCTATAGGGAAATAGAGTTCTTCCCTTAGCTACTCCTTTTTTTTTTTTGAGTCTCTCTATATGGCCCAGGCTGGAGTGCAATGTCACAATCTCGGTTCATGGCAACCTTGGTCCTGCCACCATGCTAATTTTAAAATTACGTTTAATAGAGACAGAGTTTCACCATGTCGGCCAGGGTGGTCTCAAACTCCTGACCTCAGGTGATCCACCCACCTCAGCCTCCCAAAGTGCTGGGATTATAGGTGTGAGCTACTGTGCCCAGCCCTTCAGCTACTCCTTGATGTTGGCTCTGAGGGACCCGCATGAGACACTGATGTACAGTGCTGGGGCACTCACTCAGTTCCCCAAACTTTGCTTCCAGGTGTTTGGTGCACGCCAGCAGCACCAGCAGTTTCCACCCGGCCCTGACTCTGCAGCTAAAGACCCACATGCCTAGACCAGGGCGACTCCCTAGAAGGGCTTCTCCTGAAGACCTCTAGGGAGCGACTCCTTGGCAGGCTGGGCCTGGCTCTGGCTTCCATCCTTATCACCAGAAATTGTCACTGGGCGCTGGAACTGGAGGGTGAGAGGGGAGGGAGAAGTACAGAGGCTGGACAGGCGAAGGACAGAGCAGGGCGGCCGCTCCTGTGATCTCTGTGGCCAGCATGGCGACATCTGGTCCCACTTAGGAGTTTGTTTGACATTTGAGTGGACCCCAAAGCTTATGTGGTTTTTGGAGTCTTATGAAGAATTCAAAATAAATTCCTGCAGCTTGAAAAAGCAGAGGCCCATTCCCGGCCCTTTGGCCCAAAGTTGTGGGGTACTGCCTCCCTCCCAGGGAGCTCCCAGAATGTCCCGCCAGCCAAGAGTTGTGCCACTCGGGCCACCCCAAAGCCTCTCTGGGCGACCACCTTTAGCAGCTTCCTGGCTGCATCAGGGCCTATGTCACTGGGATCAGGGAAAGGGCTGCTTGTCAGACCCAGAGTTTCTGGGGGTGTGCCCCAGTGGAAGGGGAAGCTACATACCCACTAGTATGTCACTACCCCTTGTGGTGGTGACAAGACCTCTCGTGGGGCTAGGAGGGCTCTGAGAGGAAACAGATACTGTGCTCTGGGAATTTTCTAAGAACTAGGGCCTGTGGGAACCCAGACAGCACGGACGCAGGAGTCTGCCTGGCTGGGAGGTCATGGCATGGAGCCCAGCCCAAGGAGGCCCGCTGAGCCAGCCGTCACCCCAGCTGCCCTCAGGATGGCTTTGCAGCTGACTGTGGGAGTGCAGGGGCCAGCCCTGCTTTGCCTGCAGAGTAGGCTCTAAGGGATATACGGCCACAGGGAGGATTGGACAGAATCAAAGGCTGCCAGGCAGAGAAGCCAGGCTGGGGCTGGAAGGGCACTCAGGAGAGATTCAGGTCCCCAAGGAGAGACTCTGAGGATCCCTACAGGCCAATATTAAAGTCTTGGGTGCAGGCCCAGGGAGGTGACCAGCTGGGAATTGTCAGTTCAGTGGGCTCTGGCTAGCAGAGAGAGCAAATGAGCCTGAACAGCTGGGATATACAATTCAATCGCTCTGGCTCCCTAGAAGGTACCTCTCAGAGATCATCTGAGTTCAGTCTTCCAGTTGACACCACTCAGCACACATTAGTCCAGTATTCAGCATCACTGTAGAGGACACATCTGGCTAGCAGTCTGGGAGAGCTGCTATTCCACCTGGACCAAATCTGATCACACTAGCCCTTTGTTAAAAACCTCCCACAGCTCTCCACCAGCCTCTACAAGGTCACCTGGCACCCATGTGCCTACTTGCCTGTGCAGTCTAATTGCCCCCATCACCCCCACCTTGTATCCACAACCATCCACAGCCAAGGCTTTGCTCTTCCAAGGATGCAAGGTTTGTTGCTCCCCAGTTGCCTGACGGATTTCACTTTCACGCCTTTGCCTGGGCTGCTCTCTCTGCCTAGAATGCCTTCCCTCTCTGATCTACTGATGGAAATCCTTTGCATACTCCAAGACTTCCAGATCAGATACTACCTTCTTTGTATAAAACCTCCCCTGGGCCAGGCAAGGTGGCTCACACCTGTAATCCCAGCACTTTAGGAGTCTGAGGCGGGTGGACCATGAGGTCAGGAAATCGAGACCATCCTGGCCAACATGGTGAAACCCTGTCTCTACCAAAAATTAGCTGGGTGCGATGGCGCGCACCTGTAGTCCCAGCTACTCAGGAGGCTGAGGCAGAAGAATCGCTTGAACCCAGGAGGAGGAGGTTGCAGTGAGCTGAGATTGTGCCACTGCACTACAGTTTGGCCACAGAGCAAGACTCTGTCTCAAAAAACTCACAAAACAAACAAACAAACAAAAAAACCCACCTCCTCTGACATCATGTACCCAGCCTTCCCTCATTCTCCATCTGCATCTGCTAGGATCATTTAGTACTGCCTGTTTCAGGTCATTGGTTGTATCTCCGTCTTGGGTATCTCGAGGTTTCTTTCTTATTTCTCCTAGTGCCTCTAGAGTCTAACACAGTACCCAACACGTGGTATACAATTGATACTTCTTTGCTTCATTTAATCTGGAGTTTTACAAAAAGTGGGATGAGCCACACTGAGGGTAGGAAAGGCATTTTAGGTTTACAGATCACAACATTCGACAATGAGTTACATGGTGAGAAAGTGATTCTCTTTTCAGTGATCCTTCTAACCTAATTATGTCAGTGAAAAAGGCCAGGTCCTCCCCTCAACACATGCTAGTCCCCCTTTCCAACAGAGAGAACTTGCCACAGAGTTGAGCTTCCTAAGATAATGAATGATGTCTGACTAGAACTTAAGAACATTTTGTTTTCATTTCAATTTTCCTACAATTACCTTCTCTTTATAACAAGTGGTACTGCTTTCAACTTATGATAATGATACAAAGTTTCCTTTCAGTTATGAATTTATTTACGGAGAAAAATGAGTCAAGCACTGTCTGTAATAGCAAAAAAATGTAATTCAACTAAATGTCCAAAAACAGGAGGATGAATAAACTGTGGTAATATTCAGACAAAGGAATAATATACAGCAGTAAAAATGAATAAACTTGGGCTAATTATATTAATATGGTTACATCTCAAAAATCTAATGAGGAGGGGAAAACAAATTGCAGAAGAATAATGAAATATGGTATCACTTATCTAAGTTTAAAATATGCAAAACAACATTGTATATTTTGTGGATACATGTATCTATAGTAATATTGTAGAAACATCTATTGGAATTAATTAAATTCAGGGTAGTGGTTAACTCTGGGGAGGGAAGGAGGCAAATTTATAGAGGAAATTTCAACTAAAAAACTGGAATCAAAATATGCCAAAATATTAAGGTTTGATAAAACTAGACTATAAGTTATATTATTTTTAATACCTTTTAGTGCATTTGTAAAACTTCATAATATACTTTAAAATAGATAAAACACAAAATCCTGTCATTTAACAGAATATAAAGTTAAAGAAAAATAATAACAGAACAAGAGGGAAAGGTAGAGAAAAATATTATACAGGTGGTATACTGTGAGGTTGGTTCAAGAAACCCTCTAGAGGCCGGGGTGGTGGCTCACACCTGTAATCCCAGCACTTTGGGAGGCCAAGGTGGATGTAGTGCTTAAGGTCAGGAGTTTGAGACTAGCCTGGCCAACATGGCGAAACCCCATCTCTACTAACAATACAAAAAAATTAGCCAGGTGTGGTGGCACGCGCCCATAATCCCAGTTACTCGAGAATCACTTGAGCCTCGGGCATGGAGGTTGCAGTGAACCAAAATCATGCCATTGCACTCCAGCCTGGGTGACAGGGCAAGAGACTCCATCTCAAAAAAAAAAAAAAAAAAGAAAAGAAAAGAAAAAGAAACCCTGTAGACTGTAAATTTCATTAGCGTAGGGATGGTGTCCACTCTGGTCACTGCTGTATCCTAGATACCTAGCATCAAGCCTGGCACAAACTTAATAAATCTTTATTATGTGCAATAAATCCTCACTACATTGAAAGTTCCATGAGGACAGAGTCTGCCTGTCTTGGTCACTGCTATATCCTCAGGATCCAGTATAGGGCCTGGGTATAGATGTCCTTCCAAAATATTTGTTGAATAAATGAAGACGCTCCAGTAGTAGTTGTGCAGTTCCAAGATTCACCAGCAGGTGGCACTTGGTCCCTGGCTGTCTGCAGCTCACAAGGCAATGAATGGCCAGCCTGATCAGCCTGACTAGAAGCCGTTAACCAGAATGGACCAGGGTGGAGGAAGAGAATAAACAAGATGACCACTCAGGTCCTCCCCAGCTGACATGGAGTGGCTGACTGGAGTGTCAGGGAACCCACTCTCTATTAAAGCTGAAGAAGACAATCTGGGGGAGGAGCCTGATCAGTGTGTCATGTGATGTGTGCACCTGTGTACAGCAGGTGGCACCCAGCCCACGTCTTCACATGCCTGTTCACATGCACCAGGCTTGTTGTGGTGACAATTTGCTTTGCTCATCACCACATCATTTCATGACTTCTAATAGTGCACCCTCCAGTCCCCACGCTCCACTTCCCCACCTTCCCCCGCACCTCACCTGCACCTGAATGCCTGCAGTACAAGCTCCTCCCTGCTCCAGCCCAAGCTATGTCTCTGGGTTCCCGTACACCAGAGCTGCAGTGCTACCCCTGGGCCAGTGCCAACAGTAAAAAGCCCTTGTCCTTGGGCAGTGCTACACCTGCATGCCACCCTCACCTTCAGGCCTCCCTCCTGCCACCTCCCCTCTGCTTCCCCACATGCTGCCCACAGAGTCCCAGGGACCCCAGGTCACAGGTCCCATCTACTCAGTTCTTCAGCTACAGCTGTCCCACTCCTTTGCACTTAACAGGAACCTTCCAGTACTAGAAAGCATCTGTTCATTTCTTCAATGTGATATTAAGTAATTGGGTTGCTCTCTCAGCAGGAACAATGCCTTGGACTCTGGACCTCCATCCCCTTTCCCATGCTCTACATGCAGGATCCTTAGAAGCATGCATTCACTTGCACAGATCAGGAAAGGAAAACGCTGAAACACAGCAGGTGCTTTCCACTAATACTTGTTGAATGATCCTATGTGTAAGCGACTTGGCAGTGCATGGATCTACTCTCCGCCTGCTTGAAGCTGGGCCTTCCACGGGCGGCAGGGAGTTCACCCACTCATTCAACAGATACCTAGAGAATACCAACTAGTGCAGGCACTATTCTGGGCACAAGAGACACAGAAATGGACACAATGGAGTCCCTGTTTGCATAGAGCTTGCATTAGTGTGGGCTGGGAGGCCAGGCCATAGACACATAAATAGGAATAGAATATATCAGATAGAATAAGTACTATGAAAAAACATAAAGCAGGGTGAAGGGAGAAAGAGGATGGGGCAAGCGTGGCCAAAGGCCACTCTGAGCATAAATCTGAAAGAGACAGAGCATGAATCCTGCTGAAATATGAGAAGAGCGCTCCAGCCAAGGAAAACAGCGCCAAGGGTGTGAAGCTCAAGGTCCTTGGAATAGGACTCGGGGTACAAGCATCTTTCATGCTGTTCCCCAGGGCTAAACCCAACTGGCAAATCGGGCCCAGGCAAAGAGAGGCTGCCAAAGCCCTTCCCATACTTCTCGATGCTGGCCCCGCCCAGCCCCTCACTGTCCAGGGCTCAGTGCCCTCCATTCCAGAGGCACCTGTCATACCCCCAGCAAGGTGGAGAGCGCCCGCAGCCATGATAATCCGATTGGGGATGGGGATTGCTGGGGCATCTTCTCACTCTGCGACGGCGCCCGCAGCGGGCCGGGGGTGGTGCCCAGGGGGAGCAAAAAAGTAAATTGCAGTGTTGTGGGGTGGCTCAGCCCTGCAACGCGCGCAAATTGTGCTTACACCTAGAGGCACGAGAGCACACTGATCCAATTCTCCATGCGCCCAGTGCCCACAGCTCACGCCCACGCCCTCAGCCTGCGCAGGCCGACCCACGCCCCAATCCACACACTTGTCCCGACGCACCAGCTTCGCTGCCAGCTCCCTTCCCGGAGACGCATCTACCTTCTCGCCATGGGGCCCCCGACACCTCCGCCCACCCGCGCCCTGAGCCGGCTCAACCTCCCCTGGGCCTCAAGAGCCTGGAGCGCCCACCCCACTGCCCTCTCCCCGCTGCCTCTCGGATCCCGGCAGCGCTGCAAGCGTCTACAAGAGCTCGTTAGTTGCAGGCAGGAGGAGCGCGGGCGAGTGGAGAGGCGCCTTGTGAAAGGATTTAACGTCGGGGCTCCGAGCGAGTTGCTAAGAAAGGATTAGGATGAGGATCTATCTTTGCCTTAAACTCTTGGAAAGCGGATCAAATCTTCCAGTCCCGACTTTGGAACCTCGGGGCTGTTTCCCGAAGTAGTAAAGACAGAGGGACGAGGGCATGAGTCCGGCGCCCTCTCCTCTCGCCTGCACGCCCCTCCACAAATGAGCCCTGGCTCCCCTCTGCACCCTCCAAACTTCCCTCTCCCGTGCTCACCCCGTGAGCCGCCCTCGCGGCGGGGTTGGGGGCGCAGCCCCGGACCGCCGTGGGATCCCCAGGCGTGGGAGAGCCGGCGCGGCCCGGGCCCGGGGTGCCGGCTGCTGCTGGCCCAGGGGAGTGCTTCTCCGGGTCTGCGCAGGTGGTTGGACACGCCGCGACTGCTGCGCGCGGGACGGCCTCCTGGCCTCCGTCTCGGTGGGCCTCCTGGGGATTCCCCAGCCCAGCTGGGCCCGCTCCACCGGCGGCAAGTCCGCGACAGACGCGTCCTGCTCCCGGAACAGACTGTACACTTTGGCTGCAGCCGCTGCCGGGTAGCTGCCCCCAGGACGCCGCAGTCGATTCGCGTCTCCGCCAGCCGGCTCGTATCTCCCTACGGGGTCCCTTTGGGCATGACCCGCGCCCACGAAGAAAGCCAGGGTGAGCGGCAAGAAGCCTCTCCAGGGGTTCCACGGGGCGCGCCCCGGGCTGCGGGCTTTGGTCCGCGGCCTCATGGCGCGGGGGCGGCTGGAGAGTGGAGCGCGCGGGCACCGCGAAGAGCTTTGTGGTCGGCGCGCTGGACGCCCGCGGGCTGTTCTCCGGGCCCCGCCCGGCGGCCGGCTTCTCTGAGTCTAGGGGCCCTGAAGCGGCCGACTGGGGGCCCGGTTCTCCGCGGAGCGAGGGCTGCGCGCCCCAAGCCTGGAGTCAGCGCTCCTACTCCAGCTGGGCTCTCACTGCTGCCGCACCTTCGCGCCTCCTCCCCGTGCCTGCAGCCGTCTGAAGGGGACCCGGACGGTTTTATTTTTGGAAACCTCCCCCGGCTTTTTCGTCTCTTTTATCCACACCAGGCCCCCTCCTCGGAGGGACAGCTCAGCCCCCTCATTACGGGAGAGGGAGCGAGGAATTCCAGCAACACCCACTTTGGCACCGGGAAGCGAGCGGGCGGCGAGCGGGCGGCGAGGGGGATTAACCCGTGCGGAGCAGGGGGCGGCGCGGGGCTGACCCGGGCGCTGGTCGGGCAGATGGCGCCTGCCACGACCGGGACACCGGGCCGCCTTTCTCTAGCCCTGGGCAAGTTCGAACTGCCGATCTGCCCCGAATCGTTCTCCCGCGCCTCGCCTCAGGGACCGTCTTTGGATCGGGTGACCCAGGCTGCAGCCTCGCAGATCTGAAGGAGGCCGGGAAGGGCGCCGGGAAGGGCGCCGAGGTCCGCGTAATGGAACAGGGCCGCCGGCCCCTCCGCTTGCGCCCTGGCCGCTGGGGGCGCCCTCCGCAGGGCCGGACAGAGCAGGGGTGGTGCGGGGCGCGGCGCTCGGGGCGCAGGGAGGTCCCGGGCGCGCCCCCTGGCGGAGCTGGCGGCCCCGGCGCTCCGTGGCTGCAGAACCCTGGCGCCGCCGCCGCCTTCGCTCTGGATCTCAATCCCCTCCAGTGGCACGAGGGTCACGCCTAGGCCTGGCGTGGTGATGGCTGCCGCTGGAAGAGGGGTCCTCTTTTTCTTTTTCTTTTTTTTCTTTCTTTTTTTTTGAGATGGAATTTCGCTCTTGTTGCCCAGGCTGGAGTGCAATGGTGCGATCACGGCTCCCCACAACCTCTGCCTCCCGGATTCAAGCGATTCTCCTGCCTCAGCCTCCCAAGTAGCTGGGATTACAGGCATGCGCCACCAAGCCCGACTAATTTTGTATTATTATTATTTTTTAAGTACAGACGGGGTTTCCCCATCTTGGTCAGGTGGGTCTCGAACTCCCGACCAACCTCAGGTGATCCGCCCGCCTCGGCCTCCCAAAGTGCTGGGATTACAGGCGTGAGTCACTTCGCCCGGCCAAGGGGTCCTCTTTTTCACAGAGGCAAAGACAAGGAGCCTCTTGAGTAAGCCACTCAAGGAGACAGCGCGTGTGAAAGAGGGGAGTGGAATCCAGGCCTCCCGCCTCTGGTTGAGTCCATTCCTGGAATCCCACCCCAGCCCCTCACTCAGAAATTACTCAGAGGGGAATTCGGTGATCCCTGTATGTGCACTCACATCTTCTTGTGTTGGCAGTGAGGTGGGCAGGGGTGTGGAAATGCTGATCGCCACCGTTTGCGTGTCCCCAGTAATCAGCACACCATTCTTACTCATGCCCCCTCCCTATAGCCTAAAGGCTTGGATCAACAGGGCTGCCCCTGGCACATTTGTACAGCCTATTTCCCAGAGAGGCAGAGTGAAGGAGCTGGCAGGCAGGCACCAGTTCACAACCTCCCACACCACACAAAGGACGGGCCCAGGTAATACCTACTGTTGGAATAAAGCCTCGACCCCTGATATTGGCCTACAAAGCCCTAACTGGCTGCCCCCGCTCTGATCTCATCTGACCTCTTGCTCTCCCTTACCCACCACACTCCACTGCCTTGGCCCTCTCTCTCCTTGAACAAGCCGAGTGAATGCCCCCTTCCCTCTACTGGAAGGTTCCTCTCCAAGATGTTAGAGGATAGTTCCTCATCACTGCTCCTCTCAGATTAAATATCGGCTCCTGGAGTAGCCATCCCTGACCCCCATCTAGAGCAGCCCAGTCATCACTCTCTAACACACTACCCTGTTTCATCTTCATAAAACAGTTGACATCATCTTGTTATTGATTTGTTTGCTCATGTAACTGAGTTTTTTAATGGGCTGAACCTAAAGAGGACTAACTGGAAACTATTCCACTACTACCTCCAACCATATTATGGTAAATTTCCCTTTCCCACCCTTAATGACATCTCAGGCAGAGTCCTTGGCTTGAGAGGTCATCCCTACCAGACATGAGAACTGTTCTATTTCTATAATTAAGACCCATTTTCAGGCACAAAAAGTCTGCTCCTGTCTAGATCAAAACCTCATCCAAGTTAATCAAGATCACATCCCATTTAATAGTCCTCCTCTCCCCTGTCCCTTTGCTAGAGATCCTGCAGTGGCAAGAGTGGGGTGTGGTCTGTTTTCCTGACCTTCCTTTTCTGCTATGGCTCCTCTTTGTCAAGGTTTGGGGAGAGGTGTTAGAGGAAAAGTAGCAAAGCCTTATGTGACAGGTACCCTTGGTTGGCAGGTGCCAAGCACTAGCTTTTTCATGGGCACATATGTGGGTTCTTGGGAGATTCTCTACAGGACCTCCACCCTGAGTTGCCATAGCAAAGCACTCTCTGGTCAACCTCTCGCAGACCCTTGCATCCTCTGTCTCTCATAGGACTGTCCCACCTATGCCAGGCAAAACAATGGTGGGTTGGTTGGCTGCTCCTCACCCTGCCCCTTTCTTACCTTGCCACACAGGCCACTCCAGCCAGGCTCCAAGATCAGAATTCTCCAGACAGGAAATGCACACAAGTCTCTTCATTTATGTACGTCCTCAATTCCTAAAGACATATGTTGGGTTCTCCCATGAACTATCTTGCTGTAGTTTAATGCACCAAGGTGCCTGCAACATCCAGCAACATAGTCAGCATCAGTTGGGGGACAGTTATAGGGACACAGCCTCCTCTTCTTGCAGATGACTGGTTCTCTCTGGGATCTCCCTTCATTTGGTTTGCGTTGGGGAGTGCCCTCAGGGGAAATCTCAGCCCTGCCCACAAATGCAACAGTGTCATGCTTCAGTGACTTTCTTCATCCCTTTCATTTGTAGACTGGAATTGAGGGATGTGGTTTGATTGTTGTTGAACCTGTTCTGCCTTTAGTAAGGTGCCTAGTACTTCTCTTCAGAATGCAAGAATATTTAGCCCTCATTGTTCCTTTTTTTTTTTTTTTTTTTTTAATTCTTTTTTTTGAGACGGAGTCTCGCTCTGTCACCCAGGCTGGAGTGCAGTGGCCGGATCTCGGCTCACAGCAAGCTCCGCCTCCCGGGTTCACGCCATTCTCCTGCCTTAGCCTCCTGAGTAGCTGGGACTACAGGCACCCGCCACCTCGCCCGGCTAGTTTTTTGTATTTTTTTTAGTAGAGATGGGGTTTCACCGTGTTAGCCAGGATGGTCTCGATCTCCTGACCTCGTGATCCGCCCGTCTCGGCCTCCCAAAGTGCTGGGATTACAGGCTTGAGCCACCGCGCCCGGCCGCCCTCATTGTTCTTTGTGGCTTCAGCAGATATTCCAAGAGCAGAGGAAAAGTCCTGTTCAACAACCTATAAAATCATTTCTTGTCTGACTTCCCAAACCACAATGATAGCTCTAAAGCAACAGATATCTTGTCTGCATTGCTCACCACTGTTTCTACAGAACCTAGAACAGCCAAGAAACATGTGTGAAATGGATGGCTAACTGAAGGACACAGTAATCCCATCAAATGGGGAGGGCTGGTATCATTAGACCCATTTTAAGAGAGAGTGGAACTGAGTTCTGGGTGGCAGCTTCTGATCCAGGTTCATGTGCTTGCTGCCTTTGGGGCTGGCTCTAAAGGTCTCCTGGAACCCTACCCCTTGCATTTGACCATGAATGCCCCTTAGTTCCCAGAATACTGAGTTCTGTTCCTGGGACGCTGCTCCTTCACAGCTGTGGAAGCCCCAGGTCCACACTTACCTCTCCTTGCCCAGATATCCACCCACCTCTGTAGTTCTGGGCTCCCTTCCTCTCCCCGGAACCCACCCAGTTCCTTCAGGAACTCCCCTCTAGATCCCTCAAGACCCACCTCAGTTCCCCGTGGGCCTCCCAAAGCCAGAAACCTTGGCGTCATCTTCGTCCCTGAGCTATTTTTTCCTCCTGTGTGTCCAAGTCATTATTACTGCTCCATCTCCTCCGTCTGCATTTCTGGAAGTCTGCCGCCCATTCATCCCTCACCCTTCGCCTCCGCCAAAACCCTCATGCAGACACATTCTCTCACCATCAGGCGTCCCTTCCACTCCTCAGTAAGTACAAGTGGTCCTTGGACATTCCCACCCTGTTCGCCGGAGGGACCACAACCCGGTTCATCTACTCCAAAGACTGGCATCTTCTACCCCATCCCAGCGCCACACTCTGTCCAGCCACCTACTTACTGCCCAAATCTCCCTTATCCTCTAATTGCTGGGACTGGTTGCAGCTCTTCAGAATCTCCAATCCCACAAACACTTGAGTTTGGCTTTTTTTTTTTTTTTAACCTGCCAGAACTGATAGAGCCTACTGTAGCCCAAACACCATGCTAAACATGTTACATCAATTGGTGGATTTAACCCACCAAAGGAGGCATTATGATTTCCACACATATAAAGGAGGAAACTGAGGCTGACAATGGCTACTGGTTTGCCCAAGATGGCACAGCTGATAAACAGCAGAGGCAGGATTCAAACCTGGATCATGTTCCACCCATGCCCAAGCTTTTAAGGTTACACTGCCTTGCCTCCACCCCGGGCTTGTATGCCTGGAGCCCTCTTCACAATTGAATCATGACCTTTCCAACCACCCCACCACTATCACCACCAAAGGAGCTCTAGGGCATATCCCCAAATGCCCTCTTCCCTGCCTGCCAGCCCACTGTGTAATTCCCTGGAGATGTGGGGTTATCAGAACTTTCTGCCCCCCTCAATCCTCTTGGCCCAGTGAAAGAAGAGAAGCTGTTTTCAGCACGGCCCCGACTCACTGTGTGTCACTTTCCCACCCCCTGATCAAAGCTTTCTCCCTCATGAGAATGCTGCTAAGCCTACTCACCCATCTCTTGGGTCTGGGGAGGAAAATCATCTCTGGAAAACTCTGCAGAGGGAGTGTAAAGGGTTGATAAAAAGACTCCAGCAGGGAGAAGGTTTGCCCAGACACATACCCCATGCAAGGGACAGCAGTCTCCTGGACTCCCAGGGCAAACTCACTGCTTTTCCATGTCTCACTGGAATAATGTTGGCAGCCAGAGGTCTATCAGAACCTGAACTAATTTGGTAAATAAGGGCCGCATTTCGGCCCCCGTTGCTGAGACCCAGACTCCTGACAGAATTCCAGGGATT